GCTGGGAGATGCCAGCCCAGATGCCAGAGCCCCAGCTCTGCCTCCTTAGAGTCTCATTTCCTATGCAGTGCTCGGGGAGCACGGAGCAGAGCTGGACTGTGTTACACATTAACCCTTACCCTGCCTCCGTGTTCCTTCCTGTACCTGCAGCCTACACCTTGGCCCGGGTCTACGGCGTTGAGGGGGACCTCTCTGAAGTGGCTCGGCGGGGCTCAGGCAGCGCATGCCGCAGTCTCTACGGGGGCTTCGTGGAGTGGCAGATGGGGGAGCAGGCAGATGGGAAGGATAGCATCGCCCGGCAGATAGCCCCAGAGTGCCACTGGCCCCAGCTCCGAGTCCTTATCCTTGTGGTAAGTGGATGGGCCTGCAGCCAGCAGGAGAATGGCTGTCTAGCCGGGGCTCAGGCTAGGAACGGAAGGACTGTATCTATCTGGGCTTCGTCAGGATCCTAGGACAGCAGGGACTAGAGAACAGACCACGGCTGTTGGGTGTAGGTGGTAGGGTCAGGAGTGGCTCCCACATCGCAAGGCTGTGTCCCTTTCCATGATGTAGCTAGACCCAGACTCACGTCCCCCCATCCTGACCAGGATCCCGAGCTTGGGATGTCAGAGGGCAGGGTCAAGCGATAGGGCTGTGATGAGCCCCCTGTGGCCCGGGCCCAGTCCTATTTTCCGTTCAGGTGAACGCTGAGAAGAAGCACACTGGCAGCACAGTGGGCATGCAGACCAGCGTGGAGACCAGCACCCTGCTCAAGGTAGGGCTTGCTGGGGAAGGCAAAGCCCAGAACCCTGCCCACGGGGAGTCTCCACTGCGGACAGTGGAGGACACTCTGGGAAGGGCTCTCCTGGTGGAGGGACTGGCACTGGAGGTCCTATGCCTAGACCTAGCGGCAAGGAGTGTGCCAACCAACTCACTCTCTGTGCAGTTCCGGGCTGAGTCTGTTGTGCCCGAGCGCATGAAGGAGATGACCCGCTGCATCCAAGAGCGGGACTTCCAGGCCTTTGCCCAGCTGACCATGAAGGACAGCAATCAGTTCCATGCCACCTGCCTCGATACCTTCCCGCCCATCTCCTACCTCAATGACACCTCCAGGGCCATCATCCAGCTAGTGCACCGCTTCAACACACACCATGGGCAGATGAAGGTGACGGGGCGTGGGCATGCAGGGAATGCGGGCTGAGGCACAGAGCGTGGGCAAATGATGGAGATGCGGTATACACGGAGAGACTTGGTTCTGGAAGTGGGTGGGGCTGTGGGTGGCCTCCAGCAGACAGCACCCAGACAAGCTCCCCCTACAGTTCTGGTTTGTTCTGTGCTTTGTGTCTTGCCTAACTCGCAGCCAAGGAGCCTCTTCCTGAGCTCCAGGCAGAGGTGACTCACCAGCGAGTTCTGTTGGTGGCACTCCTTGGTTTGGTTACGTGGGCCCTCTTCAATTCTGGGAGACCCTAGGTCCCCAGCAGGTCCAGAGCTAAGGGTGCTGAGTGAATCACTGGGGCACTCTGGCTTCCAGGTGGCGTACACATTCGATGCGGGCCCCAATGCTGTGATCTTCACCCTGGACGACACCGTGGCTGAGTTTGTGGCGGCTGTAAGGCACAGCTTTCCCCCTGCAGCAAATGGAGACAAGTGAGTGTGTGTCCCTCTTTCCTGCCTTGAGATGTCTAGAAGGTTCTACTAGGAACGAGTGGTGGTCACAGTGCCTAGCCTGGGGGTCTCAGGCAAAGCCAGCCTCCTGCAGGGACACAGCCATGGCACATGGCAGCATTGAAACCCCCCTGAGAGCCACAAAGACCATGCCGTAGCCTCCTCTAAGAAATGACGTTTCAGCTGGGTGAGGAGGCTCACATCTGTATTCCCAGTACTCCGGAGATCAACTCAAAACCAGCCTGGGCTAGACTGTGAAACCCTATCTGAAAAAGCCAAACTTCTGAATTATTTATTTATCTATCTATCTATCTATCTACCTATCTATCTATCTATCTATCTATCTATCTATCTATCTATCTATCTATCTA